GGGGGGGGGGGGGGGGGGGAGAGGGGAATTTTCGAGTTGCAGGAATTTTTTTTCGTTATCAAATTCCTGGTATTAATTTTTTTTAGGCCAAAGCATGAATATTTTTTAGGGTTAATTGGCGTGCAAGAATTTTTTTTCATTTAATTTTCCCTTGCGCGAATTTTTTTTTTGTACTTCGCCCGCCCGCCCATAAGTTTTCTAATGGTCCATCCCTTAGGGGACTTTGTATTTCGGAAGAAACACGAGCTCCCCTAAAATCGCCTGCGTGGGAAGCTAGTATTTCAATGAATATTAATGAACGTACTTCCGATCGAACTGGCAAGCTAAACTAATTTCGAAAATACCTAATCAACGAATACTGCTTATCACTTAACAAACACATTTCCACGCTCAAACTCGGAAAAATACAATTTGCGCTCTCTTTTCTTAGCTTAAAGAGGATCGCATTTTTCTAAAGAAGTTTGTATTACTTTTTTCGAAAATGTTATTTTACCTGAATTTCTTCAATTATTTATTATTCTTATAACTATGTTTTTGACACATCCAGTCAAAATTTGTGTACTTTTTACTTTAAGTCTTGATCGTACGTAAAGAAATAGTTTAATTGTTCATGTTCATTTCTAGTCCATCAAGCCATTTACTTTCCAGCCACAAAAAAATTTTCATAATATTATATAAATGTCATCGCCTTTTACAGGGGCACCCAACGAGGATATAGTTCAAAACCACTTAACAAAGCATTGTTGAGCGTATTTTAGTATTCAAACGGTAGATATAGGCTTATTTTTATCCCCTAAAAACTTTTCATTTGTTCGGATTTCCTAGTTGAAAGTCTAGTGATCCGAAAATTACAGGGATAAAAACTTATCCTCTAGAAACTTTCAGCCAGGAAAAGGCTCCCGAAAATTCTAGGTGGCCTTTTTTAGGGTCAAAATCCGTTAAAAATGGCTAATTATACCATCTAGTAGATGTTCGAAAATCCTAGGAGAGGCAGGCAAGCAAGAAATTTTACAACAAATGCTCCGAAAATTCTAGATCTCAAATCGTCTTCCGAACAGATGTTTTCCCGAAAATTGCCGTTGGGTGCCCCTGCTTTTATGGTTTTCTAGTTACTGGATCTTGGATGCTGTGGGGGTCACGATTCCTCTTCTTGATGAATTATACCCCTTTGTTGGCTGTATCTTCCTTCTCAACTTCTTTATTACAATACTGGTCACAATCTGCCGAATTTCTCGATATCGCCAGCAGAGGATAAAAGGATTTAAAGAAGAATTTAGGAGAACTAAAAACTCTGTAAAATTATGAGCCATCAAAACGGGGATTGGAGATACGTTTGTTGTGTTCAGTACTGCAGAAAAAATAAGAGGAAGATAACAAATAAGGAAAACAACATAGACGAACAAAGTGTTGAAGGCAGATTTCTTTTGTCGGAGCAGCTCTGTTGTCTGGGTATTTTGCAGCTGGATTTGGATACATTGAATTTCATTCTGATGATATCTGACTATTTTGTAGATACGAACATATGCCACCGATGTCAAGAGAAGGCCAGCAAAGTCAACAGCCGCTTGTACCAAGTTATTGTCTTCGGGAAGGGCAATAAATATGAAAGCAATTACAGCGCTAGTTGCCCATATGGACACCAAACCTTTTAAAACACGTTTTTCAGTGATAAGTCCTAGATA